TGCGGTGACCGCCATCACAATCACATCATGCACTGAAGGAAAAAGTCTACATAACAGCTGTACACAACACATAGACAAGACGGAATGTACATCACGAATGTCCATGAGTCGGTGAAACTCCGACGAAACAGTCTGTCACAGCCCCTCGTTTGTTGTCCTCTTCTCTCTCTCTGCCTACGGTTTACCGGGCAGTTTTGTTTGTGACGATATGACAATATATATATATACATCACCGACTCATCACGAGTGATGGCTGTGTTCTTTGTTCGGCTTGTCAGCTCCGAGTTTTGGCTGAGGAGCCATTCCACCATCCAAACCATCCAACTATCAGATGCATTGGCTGCCTTTTCTTCTACTGACGCTCATCTGTTCATCTATGCCTCTTTGCTTTTTCTTTCATTCTACAAATGCCACTTACCTCCTGTATGTTTGTTCCTCGACTCTCTCGTCTTAACGAGCTCAGTGAGGTATCGACTTTCATGGCCGTTTGACTTCTCCACAGTCAACAAAGAGAAACCCCGGAATTTCAAGGATCTGCTTCAAGGTGGAGTCGTTATCTGACAATCTAAGTGGGTCTTATCGCTCACCTCCTTCCTCCCTCGTTTTGGTGGGGTCCGCTTCCTACATCACCAGTTTTGTGAGTTTGGCACAGCTGACTAACGTCATCAAGATGACAGCGCCACGTGTGCAAGCATATCGAACAGCGGTTCGTGTTGGTAAAAGCACCCCGAGAGTACGGGACTTCTCTTTAAGTGAATCTGACTATAGTTGCTTTTTATGGATCGCAAAATGTGCTAGTTTGAGTACTTCCCCAAGTCCCGTTGTCCCATGTCCCATGCTCTGGAGTCCCATGCTCTAGAGTCCCATGCGCTGGAGAAGGGTATTAAACAGGGTGTCAACAGTTGTTGTGGTGGTGTCCTACACTCCCATGTCCCATGGGCTTTGGAGTCCGAGCCCATATCCGATGGATATGTGAGATTTTGTTTTTGGAGCAGGCTGTGGGAGTGTTTTTTGTTTGTTTTTTTTGGCTGTGTCACCAGTGTGTTTTGGAACGGTTACTCCACATTTGTGTCTAATGGGAGATACTGGAGCAGGTTTTTTTCTGAGTGGGGATCCGGGCCGACCGGGTGACCGGCAGGGGCCCGAGGGAGGTCCCGGGCGGCCTGGCCGGGCAGGGCACCCGGTTGGCGGCTGGGCCCCCCCAGCGCAGTCACCTGTCGGGGGATTTCGGACCCCCTTTTGGACCCCCTTTGTGTGTGTGTGTGTGTGTGTGTGTGTGTGTGT